TGTACCACCTGTACGCATGAGGGGGCGTTCTAATACCCTGATTTTCATAAAACAATTGTTGTGTGGTGTCTGAGGTGAGATCTGATGCTGTCTGCTGTATGGTGTCCATCTCCCACGCGTGTATTCATTAAATCATTGTTTGACTTGACCCGGCCGGACCAGTGTTGTTATTTTTGGTTTTTCCTCTTGTATCCATCCCCAATATTTGAATCCGTAACAGAGGTTAAGTAAGTTACCAGTACTTTTTATTCAAAAAGCTTAAATTAGAAAAACTAAGTAAGCAGGAAATGTTGCTTCTCAGTGAGGAAGAATAAAACGACGGGGTTTGAAAATGCCACGTCACTACCGTCCTCATCCCTCACACAGCTCAGTCCACATGTTCATGATGCCTGCTTTTTTTTTGGAATATGTTGAGCAAACCTGGAGAAGCTTCAGCTCAAGAGATCATTGTTGTCATTGGTGTGATTCTTTACGTGATACTCTGATTTGGTGAGTAAATATTTACTCTTATTCAAACTGTTTTTGTGGCATCTCTCAGTTTAGCACCAGGTTTATGAACTTGCTAGCTAACTAGTGTTAGCCTAGCATTGCTGCTGCCTCTGGGCTCATGTTATTAAAAATTAACCCCACAGCTTTAAAAATGTTATATGAAAATCTCTCTGTGAAATTTTCTGTTGACTGTTTGAAACAGAAACGTGAGCAGCTACCTGATAAGATACGGTGACCATATTTTTTGAATGGTGAAATTAAAAAATGTGATATAGGTCAACAAGGGCAAAAAAAATAACATAAAAACCTCTGGAATTAAATAATGGTACAGAAATAAGGCCTCGTCTGTATAAGAAAGATTACCAGTACCGGGACGTACGAGGGAAAGTTTTTTGCAGTTCGTCTGCAAAGCTGCAGTTGTGCTTTGGCATCTTTTAAACACCACTAGGCACTGCTGCACGCTGTCTCTCCCGTCTGTGAGCACAGAACAACAACTCACAAAGCAGCAGCTCGGGGATGAAGTCACACATGTGGGTCCTCTGTAGGAAAAGCCGGACATTTTCATTAATCTTGAAAATCCCCCTGAATGCCCCGGACAGAACATGATCTTTTCCTGTCTTCTCTTATTAGACTTGAGATATGACTGCACTATGCTGTTGCTGGTGACCCCAGTAAATTCTACAAGACATGCTGTGTAAGTAAATACAAACACTGAGAGTTTGGTCTGCATTTATTCAAAGATCATATCCCATAGACTTAGTTTAGAGGGACCACACTGTCTGCATTGTATATAGTGATGTCTGCAAGTTTTTGAACAGTGCAATTTGTTTTGTGCCCAAATTATTTTGCAGATCATCAGAATGAAAGTTATTGGCCATGTTTGCAGAGCCCTTTTTAAAATGATGCTTTCATGACATTATTGTGTGTTGGGTGGTGGTCACGGCTATCCAGACTGACAATTGGGACACTGAATGTCACCTCTCCGGTGGGGAGGGAGCCTGAGGTTGTCTAAATTGGGGTCTGTTCTATAGTAAATGAAGAAAAAATGTTTTAAGAAAGCAAATATGTTGGTGTTCTAAAAAATATGTTTGTTTGCTTGCAGGACACCAGGAGAGATGAGTCCTCCGTCACAGATGGTGTGGTCAGTGAAGATGGTCGCCTGCAGGTTCAAGGTCATTGCATCTCCAACCCACATCCACTGCCACTGTACGGAAGGGAAGTTAAAGACTTTGTCTCCACCTACATTTGGATCACCTCGATCCATGACAGTCATTCAGGCAGTAATGCCTGGACTGGAAACAAGCATCCTTAAAATAATACAATATACCAGCTCCTGTGTTTGAATGAAAAACAAATGTGTTGTTTAAACTACAGACAATAAATACATTTTATATTGATTATATAAGTAATGTAACTTTCAAAACAAAGTTGTGGTAGGCCTAAACTTAGTTTCAGAATAATTAAATCTGAGACTTTGTTTTATTAGATTATAACAATGATGGTAATTGTTTGTTGTTCAGCAGAACAGTGTCCAGCATGCTTGCTCATATACCTTTTTACATTTGAAAATAAAAGTAAGGCTGATTTTAACACCATCACAAGGAGTGATGTTAAATGTTAATTATTCTTTTGAATCATACTAGCATTCAGCATTATATTAATAGTGTTGCACTAGAAATGTCAAATATGATAAAACATACTGCAGGGCTCTAGAGTGCGACCAATTTGGTCGCAAATGCAACCAAATTTTTCAATGGTGCGACTAAAAAAAACCCTAGGTCACACCGGTGCGACCAACTGTTTGAGTAAAAAAAGAAAAGTCTCCATGTGGTCAACAACAGACACACATTATGCCTCTATCGTGATCTAAACCAATCAGAGATAGTCAGGGGCGGGACCTCTCTGATTGGCTGTGGTCCTGTTGAAAGTGCAGGTGGATAGAGAGAGATGAGTAGCTTAAATAAAGCTCAAAAACTATTTCAACAACCACCAAACAGTAAATGAGAGCAGGTAAACGGATTCCACACAAAGACGTAAACACAGAGCGGACCTGACGCATCAGAGTCAGTGAGCTGTCGGCTTTCTCACCCGACGGCCCGTACACGGACACGCCGTCGGGACTGAAAGCCGACAGCTCACTGACTCTGATGCGTCGGCGGGTCGTCAGAGGAGGTCAAGGTGATGATTAAGTTTAGCCTCGCTCTGCAGTAGATTATCACTTCCTGGTCTGCCATGGCTGACGGCCTGGGGGTCAAGGTCCACCGAAACACAGCATACCACCCGCAAGCTAACGGGATGTGCGATTTAAGGCAATGAGTTTGCATAGTTTTTTTGAGTTCTGGGAACTAATTAGATTTTACAGTGTGATGCTGCCCTGTGTTCCCCATGCCTTGTTAAGTTTTCACATGTTAGTATATCCGTTCTTTCTTACTTCCTGTTTTATCAGTTAGTCTTGAGTGCATTGTCTTGTTGCAGCTCTGCTCCCCATGTGATTCATCTCTGCTCCAGTCACCCTTCTGTATATTTATAGTTGCTGTCTTTCTCTTAGTCTTCGTCAGATATTGTCATCCCTCCCTGTGTTTCATGCTTTTTTTCCACCTTCTGTAGTTTCTCCAGGCTCTTGGATTTAGTTGCCCTTTTAATGGTTTTCCCTGGACTGTTCTGCACATACAAGTTATAGGTACTCTTTAAGATTTATTTGAATTCATTTGATTGGGGATTGGTTAATTGGTAACTCTAAATTGCCCATAGGTGCGAATGTGAGTGTGAATGGTTGTC